CCCTTAAGTTGGGTGGGGCAGAGTCTCTAGGGATCTCCAAGGTGGGTCAAACAGTGTTAGCCAGGTTGATGGAGTCTCAGATATGGCATCAGCTTGCCAGCTCTGTCAGCAAAGTGCTCAGAAAAGGGACAATGGCCTCTGCTCACCTTGATGCCAGATACTTCAGTTTCTCCCTATATACCACTGCTTCCTTCCAAGCTGCCACCCCGGTGCTGGAGCTCAGAGGGAGTGAGTCTAAGTAGGTGAGTCCTTGTGTTGGTTCTTTAAGAAGAATTACTTGGGGCTCCAGCAGTTTCTTTCACTGACTCAATCCCTGCTGGTTTTCATAGCCAAAAGTTGTGTGGACTTATCTTCCTGGCACTGGAACCCAAGTCTGGGGGCCTGGTGTGGGGCTGGGACTCCTTGCTCCTAAGACACCCATCCTGAATTGTTATCTACCCCATGTGGATGAGGAACCAGCCCATTCAGCATCTGCACCCTGCCTACCAGTCTAAATGGATGTGTTTTCTTTAATTCCATAGTTGTCAGGCTTCCATTAAACGTGATTTCTGACTATTCTGATGGCTGTTCTATATTTTAGTTGTAATTTTGACGTGGTTGCACAAAGATGCAAGCCATATCTGTCTATGCAGCCATCTTGACCAGAAGTTGCTACATTTTTATTTAGTATTTTCATCCATACGTATAAGTGATATTGGTCTATAGATTTTGTCTGTTTTTCATCTTTTCATACTAATATTATAATCCAAATGAAATATATTGGGGAACTTTTCCCTTTAAAAACCATTGAGATTGTTTAAATAACATTGGAATCATTTTTCTTGTAACCCTAGCACTTTTTAAATTATGGATTTTTTAAAAAAAAATCATCTTCCATTCTTATTGGATATTGTTTTACTAACATTTAAATTTCATCTTGTGTTACTTTCCACCATTTATGTTTTTCTGGGAAATTATGCATTTTCTCTAGATTTTTCCAGTGTGTTGCTACACAGTTTCACACAGCATTTTAAAATTAACGTTTTTCTATTTTCATCTTATTTTACTTCTAGGCTGAATTCAATAGTTGAAAACTTTGCACTTCTATGTTTTAAGTTTCTTAAATTTGTTGAAAGGGTGTTACTGATTCCTATCTTTAGTGTGATAATGCAGAGGAATGCATGGTGAATACTAATGGAAAATTATGAGAAATTTAAAAATCTGGTGAATTGTTAACTTTTTTATTTTCTCACTAGTACAGGGTTCATCTTTGTAATTAGGCAATTACCCTCCACCCCTTTTCTATGTTATTTTGAAAAATTACACCCTTATAATAGAGATCAGGAGTTTACTAACATTGTGGCTGACCTATTTGACAACAGTGCTCTATGAGAACGGAGTCACAGATACACTCTTTTTATAACCAAAGAATCAAGCACTTAAACAAATGAAGAGTTAGAGAATGATGTCTTCTAACTGAAAGACATAGCTATCTAACAGATTTGCAATGTTCTTCAAGAACGTAACTAACATAAACTGCATAATGACAATTGCTGATAGCTAACATGGACTGTCTACTTTTTATATTAAAATAATGACTGCTACACATGATTTTACAAAGCTGGAGCAAAAGATAAAAGCAGTCTGTTTGAACACGATGAAAGGAAAAGAGCTTCCAGTAAAAGACCTTTACGGCAAAAACACAACCTCAGATAAGGCAGCATAGCTAAAAAAAAAAAAAGCAAGCAAGCAAACAAAAAAACAGCTATGGGAGTTTTTTACATTCCAACCTCTGGTGCAAAGGGATAGCAATGGCCAGCAGTGAGGGACTTAGTGAACTGCTGCTGAGTGGTTTTTAAACAGAATTTTAATCCTCCCTGCAGGGGAGGAGGTCACCTAACACAATTGATGTGCTTTAAATCACCATTCCTTTATTCCTCATGTTTTCCTCATGTTAACAAATTAAATGTTGTAGTGAATTACAGTCATGAAACTTGAAAAGTGTTTCAGTTGAATGGAAAAACTTCCTATGATAAACCTCCAAATAGCATGGAATGAGTCAAGCTTTTCTGTACAAATTTTCCACCAGTATGTACCACTTTAAGCACAAAGCTTTTAACTATTTGAAGTGGAAAATGCTATCATCAAATACAACACATATCCTGCCTTCTTAAATACCATATAATACTTATATTCAAATACATCATGAGACATCACTTGTACAATATGACGACAGTAATGCTCTCAAGGACTGTGGTGTGCAAGATTTTATATTTAATGGTTTTGAGGTGCTATGCTTTTTATATTCACATTAAATTTTTCTTGGTTCCCTCTTTCCCTGTTGTCAGCGGTCACATTTTAGTATTACCTTACCTCTAAAAGGACCCTGCAGATACTTGTGATTTGTTCAGGAGCAGAAATCATATAACCAGGTGTGAAGTAAGAAAAAGGAGACTCTGAATATGGGGACCTGAGGCAATCACTTCTGAATGAAGTACATGCTGTATTACTAGTGCATCTTTCCTGGTCTTCTCCGGATTGGTGATGCTGTCACAACTGGATTCTAAATGAATGAAGGGTAATTAGTCAGATGCTTCTGGTAGGTAGTAAATAAACCATCGCCCTGACTGGTGTGACTCAGTGGGTTGGGCTTTGTCCAGAAAAGTGAAAGGTCACTGGTTCAATTCCTGGTCAGGGTCTATGCCTGGGTTGCAGGCCAGGTCCCCAGCTGGGGGCCTGCAAGAGCAAGGATCAACGTTTTGCACTTCGGTGTTTCTCTCCCTCTTTCTTCCTCTCTTCCCCCTCTCTAAAAATAAATGTTTAAAAAAAATCCACCATAATTTAAGAACCCTGTTGAACAGGAGAGTTTTGAGAGAGTAAAACTCTCTTTGCAAAGGAATGGTCTGATAGCACATCCTTACAGGAAGACTATACAAGGTAGAACTATATAGATCAGCAGATGACTTAATTAGCTTTGCATAAATTTATTAACAAATTAGGTTACAAAATACATAAGCAATTTAATGAGTCATCCTATGAGGCACTGAAATCAAAGCTGATTTGCAATGTCCTTTTCATCATACAACTTCCTTAATTATTCATATGAATGAATCACTTAATACCTCCAGCCTGCTCAACAGTTTCGGATACCTATTTATGTACTGGTGCTGCTCATGTGCTGAGTAAGGCAATGAGTAGCTCCTGGGCAATAGTCCTCAAAGCAGTCATGAGAGACACTGTAATAACGAGAGCTGTTTCTTGAGGGTTTTAAAACCCAAGATATGTATTTCAAGAGCTAAGTTATCTTGTGTTGTATCAATTCAGATGCGGTTGCTTATTAGATGCCTATTTTTTAAGGAAGACTTGATGAAATTCTGAGAATTTACAAGCGGAAGTAATAGCAACTACTCATGATGCATAATGTTATTAAAACAGTTTGCTACCAGCATCAGGCTGCTGAAAAATTTCCACAGGTGGGAAAAATATTTGGGCACTCTTTACTCTTTATCATAAACAACTGAAAATGTGTGTGTGTGGGGGGGGGACTTTACTGAGAGGATACCTTCTTACTTTTGGGGCGTGAAAATTACCTTTTATGAGATAATTAGTCTTCAATTTTTCTAGTGTTACTTGACAAAATTTAAAGTTGATCATTTCATTTTACTCTCCACATTTTTAGGAGATTTGCCTTTCTATGAAATCTGAGTATTTCAGAACCACTAAGACATCTGAATATAAACATTTTGCTGTGAGTCACAGTGAATGATCTTAAAGAAAAGCATTTAAAAATGGACCACAGACCAAGCTATTCAAACTTTTGGTGAGGAGGATTTTCCCCAATGTCTTGTGATCAACTGTGTAAAAATAATTGGTTTCTCAGACAGTGAAACTCCTTTAGGGCTGTTGAAGAAAAGGTCTCAGGAAAAAAATACTCAGAATCAAAGTGAAAGCAATGTTTTATCCCTCCTCACAGGTGAGGAAAGAGTAACAATGTTGAAGTTATACCTTGTAAAACTGCTCAAAAGCATAATTATATTACTAATGCTAACTTTAAAATTCCTGCTGTTGGTCATATGAAAGTCAAGATCACACAACAGAACCTACTAACGTTACGTATAATATAATAAAATTCTAGGTACATGCTTAGTGCAGTGTTTGCTACATGTTAAGTGCTCAATAACTATTAGCCTCAGTTCTAATTGGGAGAATTACATATGTCTGCCTTCTTCCTGTAGTACCTTCTTCATGTATAATAATGGCATAGTGAACTGACTGGATTCTACCTTTATATAGACTTAAGAATAGCTAATAATATAGGAACTGTAATATAAAATGAAACTAAATAGATTTCAGGCTAAAAAATTACAAAAGTTTCAAAGACTCTCCAGTAAGTTTATTTCACAAACTGTTTACATTCTGTTTATCAGTTTGCACTGTTATAAAGTGCAAATGTTCATATAAACACAATTTTGACAATTAACTACTTATTATTTTAATGTTTATTTCTAGCTGACCTTCAAATTTCAGCAATTCCTGAGTTGAGGTATAAGTGTTCTTGCCACTCCACCCAGTCAGTGAATCAAACAGCTCAAGATACACATTACCTAAACAGATGCAAACAGCCTACTGTAAAGTAAATAAAACTTGTATAATGTAAATGTGTTCCCTGTTATATCCAGTTCATGTCTTTCCTGAAACTGGGATAGTTATATTTGTCAACAATCTCTATAAAACAAAGTTATCTTTTTGAAAACTCAACTACTTCTTGACAGCAATATTTCTCATTAATCTTAAAAGAATGGAGTATGGAAGGCTAGAAAATAAAAAACACTTCAAATAATCAAAACAGAAGAGAACTGTAAAATAACATGTTTAATAGAGTAGGGAGAAATACTTAAATTACACATTAGATTGAAAAATATTGATATTCAAAGAAACAATTTTGGAACCATTGCCCAAAACTTATATTTTCTCAATTAATTAAAATTAGAAATGTTGGTTTTTATTATAGGAAGATACAATAATTCTTTGAAGTAAGAATAAAAGGGTTGCACAATTTAATTTCTATATAAATGATTGAATACACGGAGTATCAAATATAAACAGTGCTGTAGCAAGAAAATAAATTGGCAGCAATAATTAATCTGTAATAATAATTAAGACCACCATTTGAAAGATCTATACACAAAGAATGAAAAAATAACATTATAAAGCCCACAACTGAATTTAATCCTAATTTATTACTATTATACTTCTTTCTTCTTCAATATTAGTGGACCCACATTATCTCCTGTCAATTCATTGTGTTTATTATGCGAACCATCACAGGCAGGAAACTAGAAAGGAAAAAGAATTACAAGTGTTAATTTAAAAATTATTCAATAGGTAGAAATATTTGTCAAATGCTCTTACAAAGAAAGCACATTACTTTGAAAAAAAAAATCAAGATAGCTTTCCGAATAGATATACTCTATATTTAGCCTAATTATATTCCAATACCACAGCAAATACAACAATTTTAAATAGTTAATTCAGTGTGTGGTATAGATTCTAAATAAAAAGCTTTGGATGACTCCATATGAGTCAATAAAATTTGTTTAAAACAGGATGAAAGGAAGCTTTTGTTTTCTGTGGAGTTCTAAATTTGGGCTCAGTTATTCACTTATTTAAATTTAAGAATAATGTAATTTAAGTTCAAATTTATTCAAAATGTTTTCTTACTCTAAAATTTATGAATATTGTGATATTTTTTTAAAAAACAATTTTAAAATTCACTATTTGGTAACAATTAACATTTTAGTGTATTTTTCCTTCGATTTTTTAAATGAAAATGGATACAGAAATATACTTGTCTTAGTTGTATTACATTATGCTTTCGTGTCATTAAACATTCTTTAAAAACATGATTTGTAGTGGCTTCCTAATATCCCATCATTTTTATTACACCGTACTTTAATCATTTCCCTATTACCAGATTCTAGATTGTTTCTAATACTTTACTATAACAAAGGATGATGTGCCCTGGCTGGTGTGGCTCAGTGGGTTGCATGTGGGCGTGCAAACCAAAGGGTCGCCAGTTCGATTCCTAGTGCAGGGCACATGCCTGGGTTGCAGACCAGGTCCCCAGCAGGGGGCACCTGAAATGCAACCACACACTGATGTTTCTCTCCTTCTTTTCCCCTCTCTAAAAATGAAAAAAATCTTTAAAAACAATTTAAAAAAGATAATGTGATGAACATTTTGTACTTAAAACCTCAAATAACTTATGGTCAAAGGAGTAGAAAAGAGATCTCATAAAGACATTTACTAGCTCATACTGTTGGGCACTACACAAACATCTCATTAAATCCCTGAAAATGTCTGTGACGTTGATATGTTATCAGATTTAAAAATCAAAGATTAAAGATTAATTAACTTGCCCAAAGTCATACTCTAAGTGGCAGATACCAGCTTTGAACACAATTTATTCAGACTCTAAAGCTTAAACTCTTCACTAACCCGTATGTCCTCTCTCATAACATAGGTGTATTTTTAAACTACAAGTTACTCTATCTAACCGTTGAATCATGGCACAAAAAAAAATCAGATTTCTATCCTTCCTTGTTGTTCTAACTTTTCTAATAGTAGTATGGATCAAAAAATGGCAAACTTTAATTTAGGAACACAGATTTTCAGTACTGAACACTATGGAAAAACTGCTCATCTCACAGAACTTCAAAACTGAGGATTTAAGAAGGAAAACATTTTAACTACACAAAATGGTAGTGTGTGTGTAAATGGACATCTTACCGTCTTAGAACGCCAACATCTACAATAAGCTGCTTTAGTAAGACACAAATCCTCAATGTTTATTTCATTCACCACTTTGGGATTTTCCTTTTGTATTTTAAGATTAATCAAGCTATCCTTCTGCTGTTTTTTCTTTGGGAGGAATGGACGAACTGCAAGGTAGCCGAGTAGTGCAAGCACACCAAGGAAAGGCAATAACCGAAGCCATTCTGAAACTAAACGTAAACAGATGTGTTAGAGTCTGCAGCACTCTCGTAATAGAACGCAAATAGTATGTCTCATCCTTGAGCTTATTCTTAATCTATTCTTTACTTCTCACATTAACTATTTGTCTTTAAAACTATGAATAAGTAAATCGAGATACCTTTACCTAACCCTCCGGTTCCCTTTCCCATCGGATCTGAACACCAGTCTTGGTGGTCGTAAGAGGAGGAAAAGTAAAACTGAAGCTGGCCTCACAGCTCTGTAGCATGTGGGCTAGTTTCAAATAAAGTTAAAAAAAAAAAAAAGATACCTTTACCTAGGACCACCTTGTTTCATTTGCGGGCTAATTTGAGACTTGTGAAATGGAAAATGAAATTTTCAGAAATAAGTCCCGTATCAAATATCCTATCATTTTCCTAACTATACTTGCGTTTATTTCAGGAATTATGACCCATAATTATAAAATGCAACATGTGATATATTTCATTGGCTTAGAAAATATACCCACCATGTCTAAAAGCATACAACAGAATATCATTTCAGACAGGACATGTATTAATTTTAGTTTCAATGCTTTACATTTTTTGGTAAGGCACAATGATTCCTAAACACCTAAATGTTGTATAAAAGCTACTATTTTAAAGAACTGAAATTTCTATATGCCAAATGTTCTCATTGTTAGGTACATCTTATTCCGTGTTTCTTTAAAAGATTTTATTTTTAGAGAGAGGGTGAGGGAGGGAGGAAAAGTGGGAGAGAAACATCGATACAAGAGGGAAACTTCCATCAGCTGCTTCTAGCACTAGTCCTGAGCTAGTATATCATCTGCACCCAAGTGTGTGCCCTGACCAGGCATGAAACCTGCAACCTTCTTCTTTGTGGGACGATGCCCAACCGAGCCACATCATTCTGGGCTCCGTTAAGTGACTTCTGTAGTACTCAGCACTGTCTTGGGGCATAGGGAATATAATTGGTATCAATGAAATGGTCCCTATGCCTGTGAAGACAAACATACCAGGAAACTAAGCATTTCAGCATGTATGAACTGTTAGATAGCAGTGTCCAGCCTCCACTGGGCTCTGTAAGGAGTCCTTTCTGTCCTTAAGGAGTCATCATTTGACATCCTTCCCTGAGGGCCTACCTGATGTCTTGCTAAACACTATGTAAAAATAGATTAGTAGAGAAAAACTGAAGATTATGTGCCAAGGCATATTAATAAATGTTAATGATAATGAAGACTATGCTGAGTATAATTATGATGATCTCATTTAATAGTTAGCTTCACAACAGTACTTAGTAAGTACCATTATTATTCTACTTTTCATATGGGTAAACAGTAGCTTAAGCAAGTATAGTCCAGGACAGTAAGTCCAAAGCTCATTCTATCACCATGAATCAAATCCAACAGATAAACTATGTTGGCCAAAGAGTCCATTTAGTTTTTAGTAAAATAAAAGACATTTTTTTCATTTTACCAATTACTTTATCGATTTGGATATTTAAGTATGTTGGCAATTACTTTACTGATTTGGGTATTTAAGTATGTCGGCTATCTCCCGCCTGGTATAACGCTGACTGTTCTTAATGTCTCAGTTCGATCGCTGTCAACTTCAACTGGTCTACCTGACCATGGAGCAACGTCCAGTGAGAAATCTCCAGCACTGAAACTTTGCAAACCACTTTTGACACGTTGGATCGGTCACAGTACCTTCTCTATATACTGCACAAACTTTTTTTGCGATTGTTGTATTTTTACCTTTTTTGAAATAATAAAACATAATATGCCAAAAAGGTTGCACATTTCCTTCTATGTTCAATATTAAAATAGCTACACAAAAATTCACCAATTTTGATTTTAAATTCACGCTGATATGACAGCTGTCACAATATGATCTAACAAAATTGTTTCAAATGAAGTTAGAGACAACTAAGAACTACTACAAGCCATTTAACAGAAACAAACTTACTTTTTGGCCAATCCATTAACATACTATCTGTTCTTCTCTTGGTAAAACTACTTTGGAGAACTGTTTATTGAAAGAAAGGTTGGCTTAATACCAACTCTTCCAAAATGAAACTATTTTTGATACAATTTGATGCCAAAGGTTTGTTGAATTCTAAATGAAACAACGCACTGATATATGTGTAACACCTATAAGAATACCTGGCACAAAAAAAGATATAGAGTAGTTTGCTTTTAAGTGACTATGGAAATTGGTAGCGAATCCCTTTGAAAAAATATTTTGCTGATTCAACTTAATGCCATATGGTAGACATTTGGGGGGATATATTTTAAATAGTCACCAGAATGAGGCTCTGTAAGGATCTTATCAGTCAGGCTTGTTATTATACTCTCATAACCAAAGTGGAGACATTCCATATAGACCCTTTGAATTAATTAAACTTCTGGAAAGGACAAAGAACTGTTTCTTGGGGCACAGGGAAGGCCTATCTACAGATCTGTGCTGTGAAATATAGTAGTCACTAGCTAAAAAGTTTTGATTTGCACCCCAATTTTTTTTAAATTTTAATCCTCACCTAAGATTATATATATGATTATATATAATTATTTGATTTTTGAAGGGAGAGAGAAACGATGTAAGAGAGAAACGTCAATCAGTTACCACCTATTCACGTCTTCACCGGGGATGGAACCAGCAATCTTTTGGTGTATGAGATGACGCTCCAACCAAGCGGGCCACCCAGCCAGGGCCCCAGATTTTGTTTTAAATAGATTAAGATGACATAGAGACAACTGCCTTCTAAAAAAGTTTATTACTTACAGTTCCTAAGAGAAAGGGACATGCAGGACACATGGAAAAGTACCAGAGTTGATCAGAGGTAGGCGACAGGAAAGCTTGAGCCCAAGCCTTTATTGTGGCTTCCAGGAAACAGCAAGGTAGGCCATGGTGAACAGTTTAGGATTGGGTAGCTTGAATAATCAGTGGGCTCTAGGCTATTGGGGTGTCCCTGGTTGTTTCATACCTGGCCCAGGGTGATTTAGGGCAGGAGAAATCCTGGCTGGTGAGTTAAGAGACTGGAGGTAATTTAGGTCTAGGGATATAGGCTTTGGAATGGCTGATTTGCATACGAAAGGTGATCTCCAGAGGCAAGTTGTTTATTATCTCTAGGAATTAACTGGTCCAGGGAGGGGCCAAGCTGTTAAAGCATCATAAAATATAAAAAGTAAAAAACATGATTAAAACACAGATATGGCTATTTAAATAACTAAAATTAAGTAAAACTCAAAATCCAGCTTCTAAGATACACTAATCACATTTCGGCAGCTCAACAGCCACATGGAGCTAGTGGCTACCATAAATGAAAGCACAGAGGAGGACACTGCCATCATCACCAAAAGTTTTGTGGATGGTGCTGCTGTAGACCATTGTTTTTATGAAGTACCGATTCTATAGCAAGGCAGGGCTACTTTGACAATTTCATCTCCCGCAAACATCCCATCTCTCGTGTACTTGAAGCCACCCCAAAGCTATTATCTAGTAGCAGCCTTCCTGTGTTCTTTGCGTAAGGAATTCCTTCTGGTCACCAAGCCTTTCTACCTCTGGCCTGACTCACTTATGTAAACCCTTTAAGACTAGGCTCACCTACCGCCTCCTCCAGAAGTCTTTCCTGACTTCACAAAGCAAAATTAATTACTTCCTAATACCCTCCCAAGATCCTTTTCCTTGTGTTCTTATATCAAACTATTGTTATCTATCTGTAAAGTTGACTCTTCCATAACCCTGTGAGAAAAGGAGCTACGTGCTTACTCTTCAGGAACAAAGTAGACACCTCAGAAATATTTAATGAGTGACTCACTGAATAAATCAAGTACAGCATAAATGTCAGTCCCTTTCTCACTCATCACATTGTATTGTAATTATTTATTGACACTTATCTTCTAGATCATGCAACTGTCTTATACTGACATTGGCCCTAACAGCTAGTATTATCTTAAAATAGTAGTTATTCAATAGGTGTTTGTTGAATGTAGAACCTAAGTATTATACTGTATAAATCACAAAATTAAGTCACAAGAGGCTAAATGACTCAAAGTTAAAAATAAATGAAAAAGCATAAGAACAAAAAAGAAGTAAATTAAGAATGTAAAGGTGAGAACCTTAGATTCCTTAGTATTTCCTACCTAGCCCACAAATCTCAGGAAATAAATGATGTTAATACTGTTTTAAAATCTACTACAGAATATGTTCTTTTGAGACAATTCCTTGGTAAAACACTACATCCTCTCCCTCCATATATAAATATAAATATATATATATACACATATAGATATATACCAGGGATTTTCAACCTTTTTCACCTCATGGTACAGGTAAACTAATTAATTACTGAAATTCTGCGACACATCAAATACATACTTTTTGCCCGTATGACAGGGAAAAAAAGGCAAAACAGGTATAATTTTGATTCATTCACACTGGATGGCTATTGTGGTGTTGGCTGTCCTTTTTTATTTGACAACCTAAGGGAAAAGTGGTCAATGTCCCTGACTAAACAGTCAGGTATTGCATGTTTTAAAAATTTTTGCAGCACACCTGTTGATAATGAAAGATACCATTATCTCCTACAACAAAGTAAAAACTTATAACACTTTTAGTGCAGTCCGCTTCTTAATGATAAACTTCATTTTAACTACAAAAAAGTTTTATAAAAGAAAATAATGCAGTCTATAAAGCTCAATTAGAAATCACTTTTTTAATTAATGCTGAGTTTAATAAAGAAATATGAAATACACAAAACTCAAACAAGAAACTTTAAAGGCAATTTTTAAGACCAGCTATATGAACCTGTTTGAGGTATATTGAACTATAACAGATATTTTAGATACTGTGAAGAAAAAAACTGTAACCTAATTGTTAGGCATAATGCATATTTTGTACATATATTTTTGTCTTAGGATTATCAAAAATAGTATTTTTAAAAATTTAGAAAAATATAAAAATATAAACTTCCAGCTCACCAGGCAAGAGTAACATTTTGTTGTATTTAT